AATAAAATCCTAATCAAACCCACCTTCGACCGAATCCCAAAGCCCCGAAACTTGCCCCCACTCCCAATACCCCCCCCCCCCCAAAAAAAAAAAACGAAAAAAAACTCACCTATTGGTCTGCATCTTGTCCGTCAAAATGTTCTCCCGGCAGAAAGGACACTGAACCCTCTGACCTCTCGGGATCTCAGGCTCCCTCGCTCCTCCTCGATGCTGACTCTCGAGGTCCAGGAGGTCAAGGATACAACTCGCGCAGACGGTGTGGAGGCAGGACATCATCTTCGGAGTACGAGAGCCGTCGTTGTACTGCTCGAAACAAACGGGGCAGTCGAGGCTCTCCTGACGGGGAAAGAACGGGTGTTTTAGGAGGGAGGTATCGGTCATTTTGTAAGGTCCTTTAAATCGTATTCCTTGGATTTAATTAGAGCTTTGGATATAATATTTTTAGATATAAGATATTTTCTTATATAGAAATATCATAAGAAACTACCTTAGTATCGTTACCCTCTTTTCCACAACACTTGAATTTCCGTAGGCCTATGAAATGATAATAAAAAAAATGTCCGCCATAATACTTTAAAGATTTTATAAAAATGTAATGTATAACAACCTTACATTAATAATTATCTTTATCTGGCTGCCACTTTTCAACACTGACCTGATAAGTGAATACTGTAATATATATCTTATATATATGTCCTAAGTGATAAATGTGACATAAGTAAGGGAGATCTGGAGCTTATTTGATAAAAAAGTGAACTGTCATTTGTAATAGTAATAATGATTATGATAATTGATAAACATGATAATAATAGCAGCAACATCAGAGATAATGACAGTAACGATTGCTAACAATAACAAAAGCAGTGTTACCATCATAGCAACTGCAACAAAAAGTACCAACAATAATGACAATAATCCTAAGCACCTAATAATAAAAATAAAATCATCCCCCCCTAATCACATCAATTAAGAGATATGCTATAATTGCAATCTCCGTTTAACAGAACTACGAAAGAGGAAATGAAAGGGAACTGACGTGATAACAGCGCTTCTATAAACACCTCTTTTCCGAACACCAGACAGACAGATCAACAAACAAGGCCCATCTTGCACTCAAGAGCCAAATGGGTTTCGTTTATACGTCAGTAAAGGAAGGTCTGAGTGCCACGGAGAGAACGTCAGGTGCCACCAGGACACCCTGGGAATCGGGTGCCAAAAGGGCTCTTGCTTCTCTTCTCCTCTTTCTCCCTTCCTCTTTTCGTTTTTTCTTTTCGTTTCTTCTTCGTCTTCTTCTTCTTCTTCTTCTTCTTCTTCTTCTCAACGTTTTTTTTTTGTTCCGTCCCTCTACTCAACTATCTTTTCCCCCTCTCTTCTTCCCTCTCTCCTATCACCTATTCCTCCCTTTCCCCTTCGTCTCCCCTTCCACCCTTCCGTTTCCCCTTCCCCCTCCATCACCCCTTCCCCCCTCCATCTCCCCTTCCCCTTTCCATCTCCCTTTCTTCCCCCCCTCCGTCTCCCCTCCCCCCTCCATCTCCCCTTCCCCCCTCCATCTCCCCTTCCCCCCTCCATCTCCCCTTCCCCCTTCCATCTCCCTTCCCCCTCTCCGTCTCCCCTTCCCCTTTTCACCTTACCCCCCTCCTCCCCCCTCCTCCCCCCTCCTCCCCCCTCCCACTTCCCCTCCTTCTCTTTCCCCTTTTCCCTGCTGCTAATTTACGTGCGAGCGGGATTTCCCCTCTTGTTAAATTTTACGATTATGCAACACTTAACCCGGGGTATCACCTTGCTAGACGCTAAATAAGTCAGCTGTTTCGTTCCGCTGCGAAAGATACACACGTACATATTTCCTTGCATACATGTACGTACATACATACATGCATGTATGTTTACGTGCATTCTAATCCATATGATTATAGATACTCGTATATCTACATACACACATAAACAAACTGACAAACAAACAAACAAGCAATAAAAAATATACAGACACACACACACACAAGCAAATACACACACACAACACGTACACAAACAAATACACACACACACAACACACACAAACACACACAGACACAAACACACACACAAACACAAACAAAGAAACACAACACACACAAACACCCATACACACACACAGAACACAAACACCCCCCCCCCCCATACACACACACAACCCAAACAAACAAACACAAACAAACACATACTTCCACTTCCACATAAACACACAGACGATGCCCTCGCCGCACCAGGTGTGTTTCAGGCAGTGAGAGAACCTGACAAATCACAAAGCCATTATGGAATATATACCACTGAACCCCTAGAGGTACACGATACTTCGAGGAAATCTTAAGTGTGTGTATGTAGAGGGGGGAGGGGGGATTATGGGAGTATGGGGGGGGTATATAGGGGAGGGATGGCTAGGTGGAGGGGTGGATGAGAGGTGGGGAGGGGATGGATGACGGGGATGGGGGGGGAGGGTGGATAGGTGGATGAGGAAGAGAGTGAGTGGATGAGAAAGGTAAATAGGTGGATGAGGAAGAGAGGGAGTGGATGAGGAAGGTAATGGGTGGATGCGGAAGAGAGTGAGTGGATGAGGAAGGTAAATCGGTGGATGAGGAAGAGAGTGAGTGGATGAGAAAGGTAAATAGGTGGATGAGGAAGAGAGCGAGTGGATGAGGAAGGTAGATAGGTGGATGAGGAAGAGAGTGAGTGGATGAGGAAGGTAGATAGGTGGATGAGGAAGAGAGTGAGTGGATGAGGAAGGTAAATAGGTGGATGAGGAAGAGAGATGAGTGGATGAGGAAGGTAAATAGGTGGATGAGGAAGAGAGATGGGTGGATGAGGAAAATAGATGGGTGGAGGGGTGGGTCGAAGGGTGGAGAGATGAATGAGGGGGATGAAGGGGTGGAGGGGTGGATGAGGGAGGGGGAGAGATGGGTAGATGTGGATGAAGAATATAGATGGGTGGATGAGAGTGATGGATAGGTGGATGAGGGAGGTGGATAGGGATGGATGGGTGGATGAGAGTGATGGATAGGTGGATGAGGAAGAGAGTGAGTGGATGAGGAAGGTAGATAGGTGGATGAGGAAGGTAAATAGGTGGATGAGGAAGAGAGATGGGTGGATGAGAGTGATGGATAGGTGGATGAGGAAGAGAGTGAGTGGATGAGAAAGGTAGATAGGTGCATGAGGAAGAGAGTGAGTGGATGAGGAAGGTAAATAGGTGGATGAGGAAGAGAGTGAGTGGATGAGGAAGGTAAATAGGTGGATGAGGAAGAGAGTGAGTGGATGAGAAAGGTAAATAGGTGGATGAGGAAGAGAGTGAGTGGATGAGGAGGAGAGTGATGGATAGGTGGATGAGGGAGGTGGATAGGGATGGATGGACGGAGTGAGGTGGGGGGAAAGAGGAAGAAGGAAGGGTGAAGGGGAGAGGAAAAATGAAGAGGGAAGATGAGAGGGTGAGAGTATAATGAAGAGGGAAAAAATAAAGATGGGAGAGAGGAAGAGATTTGAAGGGAAGAGGGATAAAAAGAGAAAAGGAGAGAGGAAGAAGAAGGGAAAAGGATATGATAGGGAGGGAGGAAAGGTAGAGAAAAGAAAAAAAGAGAAAAGAGGAGAGAAGCAAGGGTGAAGGAAAGAAAGGAGAATAAAAAATAATGCGAAATTTAGAAGCGAAGGAGAGAAGGGAGAAAGAAGAGAAAATAGAAAAGGCAGGGATAAAGATAAAAGAAGAGGAGGAAAAGAAGAAATGAAGAGAAAACAGACAAGACGAGCATCAAACACCAAAAAGGTAATCGTCGAAATGATTATAGCAACATAGAATGAAATCTGAGACAGAGGGAGAGTTGCAGTTGCAAGGTTGCAAAGGAAAAAATAGGATTATACCACGCAATCTCATAACAAGTTGTGGATGAGATTCTGTTCCTCCTAACGGGTCACTGTCCTAATAAAGAACATGCAATAGATGTTCTTATCCGGCAAAAGATTCTCTCAACGAATGCCTTGCCTGTCTCTGTCCTGCGTGTGTTCTGTTGCGTTTCGTTGCAAAGATGGCGGTGATACAAAGGCAGTTTTATTATATCAAAGAGATGTCATTTGCCTTTCTTCATTTCTGGGTGTGTCTTTTATTTTCTCTCATTTTCTCACGATTTTGTCTCTTTCTTTCTTTCTTTCTCATATTCTCTCATTTTTTCATTCTCTTTCTACTGTCTCTCTATCCTTCTCTCTCTCTCTCTCTCTCTCTCTCTCTCTCTCTCTCTCTCTCTCTCTCTCTCTCTCTCTCTCTCTCTCTCTCTCTCTCTCTCTCTCTCTCTCTCTCTCTCTTTCTCTTTATTCTCCATTCTCTCTCTCTCTCTCTCTCTCTCTCTCTCTCTCTCTCTCTCTCTCTCTCTCTCTCTCTCTCTCTCTCTCTCTCTCTCTCTCTCTCTCTCTCTCTCTCTTTCTCTTTTATTCTCCATTCTCTCTCTCTCTCTCTCTCTCTCTCTCTCTCTCTCTCTCTCTCTCTCTCTCTCTCTCTCTCTCTCTCTCTTCTCTCTCTCTCTCTCTCTCTCTCTCTCTCTCTCTCTCTCTCTCTCTTCCTCCTCCCTCCCTCGTTCTCTCTCTCTAGTTCTCTCTTCTCGTTCCCATTATATCTTCCTCTTTTCTTATCCCCTTCGCTCTTAGAAACTCGAAGCACGTGCAAAAGGAATTTAATATAATTTGATATCAAGGCCATGCAAAACGTTTCACTGGACTTCCGGAATAATTACTGGCAGCTGATTCGTAACCCTGACACGCATTACAGAAATGATATTGATATTTTATTCAAAGGATTTATGAATATATAAACATTCATATATATGCGGATTCATACATAGGTGCTTACATGTAAATATACATACATGTAGAGAGATAGATAGACAGAGAAAGAGAGAGAGAGAGAGAGGGAGAGAGGGAGAGAGAGAGAGAGAGAGAGAGAGAGAGAGAGAGAGAGAGAGAGAGAGAGAGAGAGAGAGAGAGAGAGA